ATCGAAAAAGACATATATTTTTTCCTATGCTCAGTTGGATGATGTTCACCTCCGCCTGGAGCTGCCGCTGCAAAGTGTCCAGGAGGCGGTTCCTACCCCGTAGAATCTCTTCAGGATCCAGATCCTTTTCTCGGCTCAGCTGTTATATGTTATAAATATTATATAATACCCAACAATTAAATATTTTAATTAAATTTTTATTTTTTATATATATATATCTTATGGGGAATTTTATTAATTTTGATTCGCCTGCCCGGCGATGGCCTAGTTCGCATCGTTCGCCTGCCCGGAGTTGGCCTGGTTCGCCTGCCCGGCGTTGGCCAACCGGACTCGCCGGCGTCGAGGAAGTGGCCCTTGGCGCCGACTCCTTGGGGCAGCCGCCGAATCCGCTTTATCTCCATTTGTATTTCCTTCTTCGGAGCTCCCTCCCAAAGACGGCATCTCCTTCACCACAAAAACTACTTTCTAAAGGAAAAGAAAAAAAAGAATAAGAAAAAAAAAAATTCCATAACGACTGGCGCCGTGTTAGGCAGCGCAGAAATATGTGATGCTGTTAATGGCCAGTGTTGGTAAATCAGGGTCTGAAATTTTCGGGACTTGATTTCTTTAAATCTGTGGGAGCGAGACTATAAAAAAGACTATAAAAATAGTCTTATAATGTTCTGTATAAAATAAGCTTTTCAACGGTATACCGTGCATAATGGCGCATCCTCTTTGAAGGACTTAATAAGTCTAGCAGAGGCCATATTGTATTTTTAAACTAGTTCAATGAACTTTTTGTGGACTGGTTCTGGTTCACTAGTTGGCGCTCCTCTTATTAGTTCAAATTATATGGGAAACTGTAATTCGATTTTCTCAAAATCTGTGGGAACGATTTGTATGATTTTTGGTCCATACATACTTGTAAAAGTCCTACATCGACTCCACTACCGTGCATATTGGCGCATCCTCTTGGAGCTTCACAATTTTAAAAACAAATTATTGGGGTCATTTTTGTATGGGCTGTTAGCCGGGTTGGTCCACTTTTAGTCGATTTGCTCCAAAACGTAGGGAGCGATTGTAATGAAATTTATATTCTCAGGATATATTCTCAAAAGAATGGGCTATAAGCTGGTGTATCGCGCTTATTGGCGCATCCTCTTATTTCTGAGATAATGCTCAATACAGTGAAGGGGCAATTTTTCAAACCCATTTTTAAGCTATCTGAAGAGTGTAGAACCCGCTTAAAGTAAGAAAAAACAATAGTTTATTCAATTCTTAACAATTGTAGTGTTTACTTCATTAAATTTAGTGGCTAAATACGGAAATAATTGAAAACAAGAAAGGAAAGCTAACTTCGGGCGGAGCCAAAGTTGATATACCCTTGCAGTTAAAACCGGATATATATCGCAAACATCGGATATAGTTGGCCGATCCTTATTAGAATATGATAATATAACCCAATTTATTATAATACAAAATTTAAAACAAGTCCCAAACTTCTATCTTTAACAATACCAAAGTTGGTATTTCTACCATAAACCATTTCCGATCGTTCAGTTATATGGCAGCTATAGGATATAGTCGGCCGATCCTTATGAAATTTGGCATGTCGTAATATTTTGCCAAAAATAGCTCTCGTGTCAAATTTGAACTCTCTAGCTCTAAAAACACCGAAGTTATACCATTTCCGATCAATCATTTATATGGCAGCTATAGGATATAGTCGGCCGATCCGGGCCGTTCCGACTTATATACTGCGTGCAAAGGAAAGAATGGTGTGTGCAAAGTTTCAAGACGATAGCTTTAAAACTGAGAGACTAGTTCGCGTAGAAACAGACAGACAGACGGACAGACGGACATGCTCATATCAACTCAGGAGGTGATCCTGATCAAGAATATATATACTTTATAGGGTCGGAGATGTCTCCTTCACTGCGTTGCACACTTTTGACCAAAATTATAATACCCTCTGCAAGGGTATAATGATAGTTCATCATCGCCTTACGAGAAATTCAATCATGACATCAACAAAGAAGTGGAAAAACAAAAGTTCAACAACCTCAAACCCAAACAAAACAAGTTCCATTAAGTGCACTCTTCCGAGTACCTTCAACTCTTGGCCGCATTTCACAATTAAAGGGCAGAGCGTCGTCATAACCCCAATGGGGGGCTGAATATGGTTTGTGGGAGGGGGAAAGTGCATTGACATTGGCATGGGTGGCTTGAAATAAATGTGGGACACACACCCTGAAGGTCACTTTCACAACGGAAGCGACGAATTGCATCGACATTGCTTGCCGGTCAACCCCCCTACCTTCTCTGCCATCAGCCCCAGTATTTGGCTCAAGTTCACGATAATAATGACGTAGCAGCCGTGCATGGTGGCGAAACTGCGAGAGTCTTGGTGAGTGGACAGGGAATTGCACTGAATCACATAGTGATTCGAATAAACATTGGGAGTAAAATTAGTCTTCCGTCACGAACGCCGGCAAACCGGTTTTCTTGATTAATAAAACAAAAATGGTATTTATAAACTATCTGTTTTATTGTCTTTTGCGATATAGCTAAAAATCTTATTTATGTATTTATGTTTATTTTGAAAATGTTTATTTCCAAAATGGGTTTTATGTTAATGTAAAAGCAAACCGTGTATGAAGTAAGGTTCTACACAATCTTACATGAAAATGACATATTTTCTACCTATTGCTCGCGCCATCTAGCGGTTGGAAAAATCAACTGGGTAATTGTAGTTTTCCCGTGTCGCCCCCAATGCAGATTTGTGAATAAAGTTAAAATTTAAAAGAAAAACAAAATTAATTAAAATTTAAAAGAAACATACTTAATCTTTAAAGTCAAGAAATTAAAGAGCATGGATATCATTTTTTTTATTTTTGGTAAATTTTAAAAATGGCCATTTAAATCAACAAAAATACCCATTAAATGTATTATTTTGTGGGTTTTAGATTTTGAAATAACAAAAATTATTTTTTAGTCATGGTTATTCCCTAAGTTTCATATTTTTGACTGCCATATATGATAAATCATAAGTGATACTTTCCACTTAAATGTTATTCATCATAAAGTCATCATACTGCATCATCATAAAATGATAGTTCATCATCGCCTTATGAGAAACAAAACAAGTTTCATAAAAAGCACTCTTTCGAGTACCTTCAACTCTTGGCCGCATTTCACAATTAAAGGGCAGAGCGTCGTCATAACCCCAATGGGGGGCTGAATATGGTTTGTGGGAGGGGGAAAGTGCATTGACATTGGCATGGGTGGCTTGAATAAATGTGGGTCACACACCCTGAAGGTCACTTTCACAACGGAAGCGACGAATTGCATCGACACCACCCTTCTCTGCCATCAGCCCCAGTATTTGGCTCAAGTTCACGATAATAATGACGTAGCAGCCGGGCATGGTGGCGAAACTGCGAGAGTCTTGGTGAGTGGACAGGGAATTGCACTGAATCACATAGTGATTCGCCACAGCGAATAAACATTGGGAGTAAAATGTGTCTTCCGTCACGAACGCCGGCAAACCGGTGGAGCAACTTTTCTCTGGGGATCTCGATTCTCGATATTTCTCTTTTTCACGCCAAGAGAAGTTCAAAATCCTAGGGATTCCGCCACCCAGACAATTATCAAGAAACTGCTTTAATCCAGGTTACCGAGTGCGAAATATTTTACACAGAAAATAATTTTTGATATTAAAAAAAAGAGCTCTTTCAATTTCCAAATTAAATTTTATAAAAAATATTAACGGTTTATACAACCTAATTAAAAATTATAACAAATATATTTAAAATGTTAAATGCTCATACATTTATATTTTCTATAAATATTTCTCATCTAAAAACATTTTAAACATAATACTTTTCAAATATAACCTTTAACGGATTTTCAAACAAAATTAAAGCTCCCTAGATAAAAACTACTTTTGTACTTTAAAAAAAAAAATGTGTTTGAAAAACATTCTTTGTTTTATTTCGAAAATTTTAGTTTTGATAATATTTATTATATATGTATACCATAGTATGTAAAATTGGAATTACTAAGGCATCTCTTTAGCCACCCTAATACTTTCGGTCCATCTTTTTGGCCAAAATACTTGCAACTGCATTTTCGGATGGCGCCTGACCTGGCAGATGGCCAAAATAAATAAATATAAAATACCCAGAGCCAATAAATAGCCTTTAGATGTATGAATGTACGTATGCTGCGTGATCTTGGGCACGTGTGTTCGGACAAGAGATCCCCAGCTGTTGTCACGAGGCTGGTGGAACAACCACCGAATGGATTCCGAATGACAGATCAAAGTAATTTATGCCCCGGGGGAATTGTAAATGTAGAATTATCTAGTAAGAACTCCGCCCGCACCTTCTAGGACTCCCGGAAAATCAAATCAAGTAACCCGAAAACGTGCCGCCTATAAATAGAGGGAAGCGGAAAAACAGAGGAAAGCAGCCAGCCACTTGGAGAAAGGTCACCTTGACTAACTTGGCTGAAATTGAATGGAGCCGAAAACTCTGGAGAGCGAAGGCGAAAACAGGGAGAGAGAGCAGCGCCGCTCACTTTCACAACGCAGCGGAGGCAGTTTCGTCATTCATCCTGACGCAGCAGCTGCGACGCTGGCAGAGGCAGAAAAACAGCTGCCTACACATGAAAAAATTAATGGTATTTTTGAATATTTTTAAGTTTAAAATACGTAAGCTATCCGGTAGGTAAATTTATTATAATTTATTATAAAATTATTTAAAAAAATATTTTAAATTTAATGTTTACTTAATTAAATTCATATTATTGCAAAAGTATTTTATTAAATGACTTATATCATATAATTCTAGTTTACATATTAAATAAATCTTATAAAATCACATGATTCAATTATAAGGATTCTTTCTTGTGTATTTTCCGCAGTGTACGCATTCCGTAGGAGTGAGTGAGAGCGGCCGAGAGCCAAATAGCCGCGGCGGAGGCTACAAAATCCAGCGGCTGGCAGCTAAATTCCAAAGCAGCCCGTGTTGAGTGCAAACAGTTCGAGTCGAACCCGCAAAGTGAACAGAACGTCGAAGACCCAAGAGTCAGAGGCGCCAAAAATAAAATCCAGTGAAAAAGTGAATTAGCAAATCCAACCCAAAACCAAAAAGTAAGCGAACCAGAGGAGCACGCAGCATGCAGAGAGAATTTAGTGGCGTTTATTTAGTAACTGAACGAACATTACTTCCGGCCAGGCCAGAGTGCATTCAACTTTGGTCAAGTGCAAGTGCAGTGCTCGGAACCCGAGTCTGAACCTCGCCCTTGGCCTTCCGCAATGCCACCGTTCGTGGGGGCGAAAAGTGGGTGGTGCGGGGCGCTAGTTGGGCGTACTATTCGCTTTCACTTTCGTTTTCAATGAGAGCATGCGCCGAGCCGCGAACAGCTGTTTGTAAATTGTATTTTTTGGCAGGGGTGACGTAGGCCCCCCACTAGAGTGGAACAACCGTGTTTGACTTTGAGAGAAGGTCATTCCATAGGCCCAATTTTGAGGCAAGTGTCTGTCTACTTGCAACAAGTGGGCTAATCACTGTCGGAGGATGTCAAAGATTTATGAATATGGATCTAAAAATACATATCTTGAAGTATTTAAAATATATATAGTAGTAAAGACATCAATATTTCCCCTTCTCTTCAGTACTTTTCTAGTAAAAAATATACACTTTTAATAAATTTCTGTTTTAATATTTTCTAAGTATCTATTAGAGCTTTTTTAAACAATTCCTGTATATCTTTTTCCAATAAAAATAAACTGCGGTCACTCAGCCATTAATCATTATATTTTATGTATATTTGTGAAGCTTTGCCAAGTTTTTCGCTACATGACTCTTGCCCTGCGGATGTCACTGGAAACTTTGTGTTTTTTGCCCTACCCATATTCCACAGAACTCGTAATTGCACTCGTAACTCCACTAGTAAACCAGAAAAACACTCATATTGAAGCATTTTCTAATTAAAAACGTGCCACATGTTTATATAAATATTTTTCCGCTGATAACAGTTTCAATATGCACTTCTAATCTCGGAAAATCTAATCTGAAATCTATATTGCAAACATTCGCCACCCTGGTATACCACCCTGGTTCCTGGTTCAGATAAGGGTTGACGCATAGACCTACGTCATGGTGATCCCAGATACCACCCACATTCAAGTCATTAGGGTTAAACAGAAATTAGTAATTTATAATCCAGAAGCAATAATAGCCTAATGGCTAACCCGGCCGATAAGATAACATTTCCGAAATCAGTAATGGGGATCAGTTTCAAAAGTTAGCACCTCGATTGCATTGATAAAAGTCCCATTAGGGGCGTAATTTGATAATGAATTCAGCTTTTTTTTGCGGAAGAAGATAGCCCAATTGAATCCGAGTGTCATGTGCCACTCTGCCAGTTTATAAAAGAGCCAACAAAAGCATAGGTTAATTTTTTCCGCAATGTTCTCGGTTTGGTCCGGTTGCGTGTTGTGGCGATGCCGCACTTTTCTCATTAATTCGACCTTCGTGAAGGTTAAAGAGCGCCAAATAAGCAGTATGTGCGTGTGTGTGTCCCTGTGTCCGGGTGGGAAAGAGTTTCCCCCCAAAATTAATAAATAAAATGTAAATGTGTTTCGTAAATTACTTACAAGCCATAAGAACGTTATTCTAATTATTGGGCTTTTTCTGTTTTCCTTTTTCTAGTAATGGCCGCCATTAAGGACAGTCTGTTGGCCCAGGTCGCCGAGGTGCTGCCCAGCTCCGGGCACAAGGTCACCGTGGTGGGCATCGGGCAGGTGGGCATGGCCAGCGCCTTCAGCATCCTGGCTCAGAACGTCTCCAAGGAGGTCTGCCTCATCGATGTGTGCCAGGACAAGCTCCAGGGCGAGCTGATGGATCTGCAGCACGGCTCCAACTTCCTGAAGAACCCCCAGATCACCGCCAGCACCGACTTTGCCGCCTCGGCCAACTCCAGGCTGTGCATTGTGACCGCCGGTGTGCGCCAGAAGGAGGGCGAGTCCCGCCTGTCCCTGGTCCAGCGCAACACCGACATCCTCAAGAACATCATCCCCAAGCTGGTGGAGGTACGTCTTAACGAATCTTATAAGACGTATAACTTTGTAATAACATTTCTCTCTCAATTTTACAGTACAGTCCCGATACCATCTTGCTGATGGTGTCCAACCCTGTGGACATCATGACCTACGTGGCCTGGAAGCTGTCCGGCCTGCCCAAGAACCGTGTCATTGGAAGCGGCACCAACCTCGATTCGTCCCGCTTCCGCTTCCTGATGTCGCAGCGCCTGGGCGTGGCCCCCACCTCCTGCCACGGCTGGATCATCGGCGAGCACGGCGACAGCTCCGTGCCCGTCTGGTCCGGTGTTAACATTGCTGGCGTCCGTCTGCGCGAGCTGAACCCCACCCTGGGAACTGGCGAGGATCCAGAGAAGTGGAACGAGCTCCACAAGCAGGTGGTGGACTCCGCCTACGAGGTTATCAAGCTAAAGGGCTACACCTCCTGGGCCATCGGCCTCAGCACTGCCTCCCTGGCCTCGGCCATCTTGCGCAACACTAGCAGCGTTGCCGCCGTCTCCACCTCGGTTTTGGTAAGAATTTAACAAGTAACTTAATGGATAAGGAACTAATATTAAACCTTGCTCACTTTCTAGGGTGAACACGGCATTGACAAGGACGTGTTCCTGTCCCTGCCCTGCATCCTGAATGCCAACGGTGTGACCTCCGTGGTCAAGCAGATCCTGACCCCCACTGAGATCGAGCAGCTGCAGAAATCGGCCACCATCATGGCCGACGTCCAGGCCGGACTCAAGTTCTAAGTTCAACACTCCTACCTAAAACAATGCATTCGCAGCATAAAATTATTACAAAAGTAAACACGCTAGCCATCGTCTAGGAATGCTAATTTTAGTCCAATTCGGAGCCACGGGGGAGCTGAATCCAGTGAAGAAATGCCACTGACAGAGCATCAAGTATTTCTGACACCAATGTTTATTTTTAGTATCACTTCTCAATTATTTATTATTTTTATGGATTAGTTTTGTGTGTCCACACGAATAAACTGTTTAAACTTTAAGTTAAAATCGCAACTCTCTTGTTATTTTGGTGTTCTTGTGTTCTCTATTTTCTATTGATTTTTCATTTCATGGACTGGACAGGCATAGGGCTCCCCACCTACACCACTCTATCTCTTAAGGAATCTAATTTTAAGGCCACTCTCGAGATCTTTCGCTTGGAAATGAAAATCGGAGTCAGACAACAACCGCCGCTACCTCATTAGCGTAAATTTTGAATTGAGAGACGCTCATGACGAGTGCTAGTCAAATTTACAGCCATAATATACTCACAATATAACTAAGCTAACTAAAAGAAACCCATTTAGTCAAAATATACACCTTAATGAATAAAGATTTGGCACCTAGTTGTATTCGAGCACCCATCGAAAAAAAACAAAGAAAAGAGTTAATCAATTGACGGAAAAAATGTGAATGGAGGGGCAAGTATTTTGAAGGCACGATCGGCTAATCAATCAGTTACAAGATTGCAGCAATTCTGGCAATCGCCACTCCGACTCTTTTGGGGCTGGAGATTTTGGGGCGGAACCACAGACAACTGCCAGACAGTTCCCCTTACGGGTTGCTTGCCGCTGAAAGACGTGCGAAATCTGAGCCAGCTGGCAGATAAGATGCTCTCGAGTCTCGCGCCCCGATAAGACCTGGCTATAAAAGCGCCCAGCTGATCGTCTGCAGACATGAGAGCACTATTTACCATGCAGAAGAGCACAGTTTTCCAGATCATTGGGGTTGTCTGTCTGGTTTGCCAGGCACTGGCACTGGAGGAGCCCTCCAAAATCAGTCAGAACATAGACCATGTCCAGAAGCACAACCTTAAACTGCTCACCGAACAACTCAATCGAGGATGGAGGGCTTTCTGTAAGTTTGTAACAGTGACTTTACGTCTTAGACCTACTCCTTACTCACTCTTGACCAGGTGATGCTCCGGTGGACGAGGGTGTCATGTCCCTGTTTCAGGGCATCAACCCCAGCGACGCCCGGTTGCATGTGATGACCATCACCAATCAGAGCGTGGAGCTTCCCATCAAGTCCATGGGCCAAATAAAGGACTTTGATATCCAGGCTGATCGAAAGACCCTTATCTACGTGAACGCCTTCCACACGGCCGACAGCTATTTCAGCGTCCAGGAGCACCTGACCCTGCTGCAGAATAGCCGGAGAGATCTCAACGTGATCGTAGTGGACTTTGCCAAGGACGTGGCCCAGCTCTACTACGCCATTCGTCACCACTTGTCGGTTCACGGGTACTTTGTATACAAGATCCTGCGAGCCTTGAAGGATGCGGGAATTCCGATGGAGGACGTAACTTTGGCAGGTCACTCGGTGGGCGCAAACATTGCCGCTTTGGGGGCACAGCTCTTTGCCAAGGAGAACAAGCAAGTTGTAGGCCAACTGATAGCCATCGATCCGGCCACCATGTGCCGCACCACGGACATCCTGGTGAAACAGAGCGTGGCCGGAAGAGTGGTGGTCTTGCATGGTGAGGGAGATGTCTTTGGGGTGAGGGTACCGATGGGGCACATCGACATCTACCCTAACGGCATCGGCTACTTTCCGAGGAGAAAACTTCAACCTGGCTGCGAGTCCAAGATCTGCAGTCACATGTATCCCTTTGTACTCTTCATGGAGGTAAGACCTTGTCCATATCGCTGAGTTAAAATCCAGGCAATTGAAACAATTCTATCCTCAGGCACTAATCGAGGGTGTGATGATCCCTGCCACCAAGTGCGAGAGCTGGGCCAAGTTCCGGCAGGGAGACTGTAACTTCCAAAACACAATCAACATCGGGCTGGTCTACCCGTCCAACGCCAAGGGCCTATACTTTTGCTTGACGCAGCCGAACCCCCCATTCACCTACATGGAGCATGGACTGCGCTACAAAACAAAGCGTCTGGAGAAGTCAACCACAAAAAAATCTAACTAGTGTTTTATATTTTGTGTTATAGTTGTTTTTACATGGATAGTTTAGTTAATAAAGTATTTTTTAGTTTGAAACTTAAAAGCCTAAAAGTGTGCTACACATATGTACCTTGCAGAAAGAGTAGCCAGATGTTTGATAGAAGGTTCTTTATATACTTCATACTTTTAATATAAAAAGATTATTGATATTTTTTTAAAACTGCACTAAAACTAGTCTTAAACAATTTTTTAGTTGATATTTTCTGGACAAAGTATATTAAGCCATTCTATACCTAGATAATCCCTCAGAGTACTCTCGTTCTCTTCTTTTCTCTGGGCCTAATCTCTCGCTTAAGGCCAAAGCCGAATCAGCTGATTAAATCGAACAAAGCCGGCTCTCAGTCACAGCTGGTAGAAAGAGCAGGTTGAAAACGAGAGGCTGCAGCTTCTCTCCTTGTTCAGAGGCGTCTTCAAAAAGAAACATTGAAGATTCATAAACAATACATAGGAAAATTATACCAAGGACTAGGTCTAATAAAAAAAACTGTGACAATGGGATCCCTTTTAACAAATATTTAAAACCCTGCTTAAGATTTTATTTAAACTTTTTCTAATACAAACTTCGAACTTAAATTTATTCGACTAGCAGATATAATTACGAATACTTGGGTACCCAATTTTTTATTCAGATGCACCCCTGCCTTATCCATTACTTTATGCTCTCCGTCTGCTCGCCTACCTGTTGCCAACTAAACTTTTTTCGAGCGGGCCAAAAAAAGGTGAGTTAAGAGCCGCTCGCGGCCAACTCCGGAGCGCAGTTTGGTTGAGCTAGTCGAGCGGTGAGGTTGCTCGGCGGTCGGTTTCTCCACCGAATCGGATCAGATCGGATCGCATCGCCAGTCGAGCTTAAAGTGTCCAGCGGTACACCCGTCGTGGCGCAGTCGGTACGTGGATATAAGCTCTTTGCTGGGCTCAGCTGAAAGCTGAAAAACACCCATGTTCGCCAGTTGATCGTGCGGAACCCCAATCGACTAAACAGCAAAAAAGTACAACAATTTCACAAAAACAGACGCTGCTGCTACAGTGGCTGCTGCTGTAATTTTTGTAATGATCCCCGAAAAAAGTGTGTGATGTGTTACAATATCCAAATGGAGTGAAACCGAAGCTAATCCCCTCTAAAAGTTATAACGACCAAAACTCTCGTTTGATCTGGCCACCCCAGCCACTTGCATCTATTAGATACACGTATCCACTGAGCCGAGTATCTGTATCTGTAATCGTAAACGCGTCGCACGCCAGCGCGTGTCTCCAGCTCTAAATGGCCTAGGCGGCTCCGTAAACTAAGCTGCCAGTTCCCAACTGGTCAAGTTTACTTTTATTTACGTTTTTTTTTTTTGTTTTGGGCGGCTTAGGTGTTCGGTCGGCATTCTATTGAATTTCTATCTCTGGCCGAGTGCGCATCCAAGCCAAATTCGGATGCAATTTTTCAATTGATCGGGCTTAATGAGTGAGGAGCAATTAGAAAGATATATATACATATAGGAATTACTAAAAATAGCGGAGTAATGAAGTAATTGGCGGTTGTATAATCCCCGCACGAATGATAAATGAAGTGCCTGGAAGACTCTTGGCCCACAGCGAATTATTGAATTTATTCATTCCCCGCAAAATTAAATAATAAACCATCAAAACGACACAGCACTCTAAATTGAATTAATAAATTGGTAGAAAACAAGCGATCAATGCCAAAAAAAGACAATCGCCATGATAAATTTTAATCATTTTACAAACACGTTAATTTTTTCCCAAAAGTGCTGTTTAAATCGCTTCAATGGCACTTAATGAGTTTATTGAGAATGCTAACAATGCTAACAGAAGTCGGCATCGAGCCTAGATATATCTGGCATATTGTGTGCTAATGAGGCCCCAAAACTCCCACCACTCAGCCACTTTATTCTGGGAACGGATCGAGCCGGAAAAAGTGCAAGTGGCAATCGAATGGAAAACCGAGAGCCGTCAAAGAAAGTATTTGCCTTGACTCATTTGGTAAGCAAATGGGTTGGCGAATATGTCAAAAGAAAGTGAAATTTATGCCATCCGGATTCGTCACCAATCAAAGTCTCGGCTTTGTGTGGCTTGCGGCCGAATTATTTCACTATATCGCTCATACGCAGTGTGTGTTTGCCACACAGCTGCAGCAGACTGGCAGGTTGTTTGCGTTTTGTGATAATAAGCAGCCACAGAGGGGGACAGCCAAGATTAGGGCCTTGAGTGGGTCAAATGGTTACGATTCGTCTCCAAAGATCTGGTAGAATCTAAGCAAATAGACGTCCACTAGTATAAATAACTTATCTGGACAGCACGACTATCTTTAATTGTTTTGAGCTGAAAGGCAATCCAGAGGTCGCTACTTCTGGAAATAAATTACGCAGAAGAGATGTTTGCTTAAATTAAATAGAAACTACAATAAGTTAACTGCGAATTAATCATTCAAAACAAAGATCTTATCTCTAATTACATTAAATTACCAAGCTCTTTGTAGGCAGCCAAACAGTGGGTGGGTAGTCATGGGCCATCGTGACTTAACGTGGCCTAGACCCGCGCACAACCGGTTAGCTCTTACATTCCTGAAGATCACCTGCTATGTTTGTAAACGAAATTAACGTGCTAAAGTGAAAATTGCCGCGCTATACCCCCTTTCTACGATTCTAAGCTTGGAGTGGAACCCGTTCTGTCGGATGGCTGGAGCTGCGTATGCAAATATTTGCAGCTCCAGACTAGCGCTAAGGAGCAAAAATAACTGCTCGCCGGGCAACAGGTTTCTTCCGATCTTCATCTTCAGCCTTTGCAGGTCCGAGTTGGAAATACACACTTTTTGAAATTTGTGTTTTCGATCGCCGAGTGTGTTCGATTAATCAAAATCGCGTCGGAGAAACGCAACATAATCGGAATTAATCAGGCCCCCAGTAAACCGAAACTGAAAACGGGAAACAATAAAGACTTGCGATGCTGACTGGCCAAAAATGAAGCACCCAAGCACCCAGAAATATAAAAACAAAAATTCAGAGAAACCGCTGAAATGCTGCCCATCCCAAGGTTTCTTGTGAAAAAAACCTACAAAAAGTACGATAAAAAACATCGCGAAAATCCCGACATCAAGTCGCTGTGCCATTAAGGAGAGTACGCAATTATTTTGGGGAAATCCTGGCAGCCAAGTGATCTTTGTGTACTTGAACGTGTACCAGGCCCAAAAGCGAATCCGTATTAATTGTGTCTACAAGGTGAAGACCGAAAAAAGTGAAGTGAAACCGAATACAGCCCTTGGGAAAGGCTATAAGTTGCTATATGACCAATATTCAAAAACAAATATGGCCATAACTCGGTTCTGGGTCCTACACCCCACATTTCACCCGATCCGAAAGTGCATAGCAAATTAAACTTACATTGAAAACAATATAACAAAAAATGGAAAAGGCAAAAACAAAACAACGGCCAACAGTTCGATACGTGACGGAATTTAAGTTTAGCTTTTCGAGCCCTCCAGTATAGTATTTGCATGGATTGCATTAGTCTTTGTGTAAAATCATTGGCTCTGGCGCATGGGTATTGCTTTTTACAGTTTTACCTGGCGCGTGTTGAACCCCCTTCCACCCCCTCAACTACAATAGTCATTACAGTGAAGCTTCAATAAATTAAAAAAAAGTTATTAAAGTTATTCAGGCGCTTAGAGGCCTAAAGTCGCTTATAAGCCCAACTTTCTTGAAAAAGTGTTTGAAAACAAGTCTTTAAATATTTTATTAACAAATATTTCTAAACTTATTATTTTTGGATAGTTAAGCACTATTAGAATAATGTTTAATTATTAATATTAAAGTTACTTTAGTAAAACCGTATAATTTATGATGGTTTTTTCAGAAGATATTTATCCATCTCAGGCTCTGAAAAAGACAAACTCATCCCCCACTGCGGCGGGGGAGTGTGAAAAATATATATATCTATATATATAGATATCTATCAATGCGGCGACGTCGATTCCGCCGTTTTCAATGACGCGACAAGTACAACAATTAACAAAATTCGCGCATGGAATTGAGCAACAACAACTATTCGGCCTTCTCCGAATCGGCAGCGGCCTAGCGCCGGCAACGAAAATAAAAACAAATTGTTTGTGATTAAGTAAACAAAACAAGATCAGTTAAATAATAATAAAAAACTAAGTCAAAAAGAGGAATTGTTCGAAAACAATGACTGTATCATATGCGGGTGAAGTGCCAAATGGAAGCAGTTTCGGCTGCTTCTGGAAAATCCTATGGAAGTAAGTACATCATATCATATTTGATATACATATATAGACACAATTATAGACATTATAGAAATATAAAGTTAAGAATGAAATAAAAAAAGTTCAAAATAAAAACCCCATTTTACCCAAGTACTCTTTACGAACCACATTATGTGGGTCACCTAAGCAAACAGCCACCATTCCGGGGATTTTTCCCAATGATTCATCCTAGATTGTTTGTCGGCACAATTAACATCAAATACACTTAACTCCTCTATACCTCAGGCCCCCGAGACACATACAGACAATCATTGAACAGCTCCCGGGCAGAATCTGGTTTCAGGTTATTCGGTTTTTAGAGTGCGTTTATTTTTAACCCCAGTTGGGTTTAATTGTTCACTTCAGCAAGTGCAGTCACTCGTAACCGGGCAGTTAGAATAGCCATTTCACTTCCAGTACCAGTTACTGTTGCACAGTTCCAGTTTTTGCCATTCAAACCAGAAAAGTTGAAAAAAATTGTTACGATAGCGTTGCAGTAACAGCTCTAAGCTGGGAAGCTACGTTGATAAGGCACGCGGCTTGTAATGGATTTACTAATTGAAAACTTATGCAAGTTAACATTTGAGCTTCGAGCGGCGGGACAAAACGTCAAAATTGCCTAAATCATTTTGTTTACGGCTGTAAACATCGCCTCTGCATACCTAACATAGTTTCAGCTAATAAAGTTGTGGGAGCCCGAGTTCTCGAAATAGAAAACACGGCCGCAGGAACCTTGGCCAAAACAAACAGAACAAAGGCCCCAACCCGAACGGTACCAGTTTCAGAAGCGGTTATGCCAATCATTATTTATATGTATTTTTTTCATAATGTATCAAATCACATCGCGACATTCGGATTCAGTGGAACTGTCATGCGAGATGGGACAATACCCCCGGTTTGCAGAACCGGGCGACCCATTAAGCTTCGAAATCAAAATTGAAATATGATGATTAACCATGGGGGTGAACGAGGAAATTAGTTTCGATCAGCGAAAACCAGTTAGTTACAGTTCAAAGTCAGCAACTTAGTCTTCCTATTAATTTTTATGGTTTATTTTAAGCCAAGAAACTAATTTAAAATGTCAAAAACTCTTTAACAGATGGCGCGGCAGTGTCTACAAGTTGGTGTGGCGCGAATTAATTGCGTATCTCTGTCTATACTACACCATAAACGTTATCTACAGATTCGGCCTGACAACCGGCCAACAGGCGTAAGTATTCAGGATGATTTCTATTGTCAGTAATTCCTGAAACGGACATATCCATCTGCAGAATTTTCAACAAGATCCGACAGTATTTTGGCCAGCAGGGCGAAAGCATACCCATGTCCTTTGTCCTGGGCTTCTACGTGAATCTGGTGGTGAAGCGTTGGTGGGAGCAATACCGTCTCCTGCCCTGGCCAGACACGCTGGCCCTCTTCATCAGTGCTGCCATCCCCAACTCCAACGGCGGAGTAAATGTAAGAATCCTAGTTCAGCTTAGGCTATTCCCTAGTAACAAGCTTTGCTTTCCAGAATGAAACTGGTCGTCTAATGCGACGCAACATCATGCGCTACATGGTCCTGGCCTATGTCATCACCCTCCAGAGGATATCTCTCAGGGTGAAGCGCCGCTTTCCCACCACCCAGCACCTGGTGGATGCCGGCTTGATGCACGAGTCCGAGATGAAGATCTTTGAGGCCCTCAACCAGAAGAGCCCCATGTCCAAGTACTGGATGCCCCTGGTCTGGGCCACCAACATCATCAACAGGGCCCGAAAAGACGGCCTCATAGCCTCGGATCACATTGTGCAAACCATCTTGGTGGAACTGTCGGATATTCGTCGTCGGTTAGGTGGTCTTATTGGCTACGATACGGTCTGTGTTCCTCTGGTCTACACTCAGGTGAGTTTACCTTTAGAAAAGTTATTGGGAAAAACTTATAAGAAATTAGCTAAGAAGTTAAATATTAACTACGAACTTAATTTGTATAGCTTGGCTATAGAACAAAGTATAAACTTTAATAAAACAAAAATGATTATTTCCCAGGTGGTTACCCTGGTGCTGTACACCTACTTCATAGCCGCCCTTCTGGGCCGCCAGATGCTGCCCAATGTCTTGGACAAAAACGGCCGTGAAGATCCCGACCTGTACTTTCCCCTCTTCACCGTATTGCAGGTGAGTCAGTTGCGACATAGCCTAGCCGTATTAAAAAATGGCATTTTCTCGTATGATTTAAGACTGTTTAGAAGTTATCTTAATTTGCACGTTCCGCTTTATTTACCATAAATCACAGTCAATTTTGCACGTCTCGGCGTTTTGTAAAAGCCTCAAAACTTGTTGCGGTTTGTTTGAATAATTTTTGTTTTTTGCTGAAAACTGTTAGCCAAATGAGCCGAGTGGTCGAATGTAATGGCTACACCTTGTTACCGATATGCTCCACATATACTATACCTTAATGGCTATATCATGATAGGGCCAGTTACAACTGTTTTTGTTTTTGCTGTTTTCCGGCTTGGTTTCTGCGGTTCTCCGCTGGGGACAGATTTCAAGTGCCTGCCTTATGTAAACGGTTCGCGGTCACGTTCCCTCCTAATAAATTGGCACTTTGCCGGGCTCCGGTCTGGTTTGTGTTTCCTACGGTAGATATATATCTGCGACAAGTGTTTAGCTATCGTTATTAACTGTTAATGTCTACTCGTTATAAATTTTAAAAATCCACAAAAACAAAACCAGCTAATGGGAATGGGAGTGGGAACTCGGAGCTCTCCCTGGTGTGCCAGGGAAACGGTTCTCGAATTCAGTCGAATCGCCCGACTGCCTTGGGTTTTTTTTTTATTATGCAATTAACTATCTGATCCTATCACTTTCAATTAATCTTGCAGTTCGTTTTCTACGTGGGCTGGCTGAAAGTGGCCGAGGTGCTAATCAATCCCTTCGGCGAAGATGACGACGATATAGAGCTCAACTGGCTCATTGACCGGCACATCAAGGTGAGTCACTCCATCAGACCGTCATTACACAACTCGATGTGGCACCTACATGTGCCACCATGTTGCTCCAATCATCCGTGGCAAATCTTTAATAAGCAATGGCAATAATTCCTGCAGTGTGTCGACCGTAACATGATTATCGAAATCTTTTCATTAGATATGTGCGAATTGGCATTAACATATAAAAATTCCCCCTTTGAAAACCTGTATAACTCCCAATTAATTGTGTTTAGCAAGAGGTAGAGAAATTATTTGACTTTCGAAGTAAAGTCGAGAATGATTCGGCCAGATGTTCGGTCTTGAAAACCCAGCTCTGGCTCCAAATACTCGGAAAGAGTGCTTCCCTGTTATTAACTGAAACCTTGAGCCGCAGACATCCGTCAGATACTTAAACGTAGCCGTGCGGAGAGTCGTATCCATAATTACTATTCAGTTTCCAAGTATTATGACTGCTTAGATCTGGCCCTCGACGAGCTAAATTTTGCTAATTAGGTTATCGTGCTAACCAAGTGAGGATTTTTGTGCTCCCCGGGCGATAATCGCTTGAGTCAGCCACTTCTTGGGCTCCTACTGAAAAGAACATGTCTGTGTCTGCCACGTGCTAAAAGGCATTCTGCACATAGTCAACAAAAGCCTTATGATTTGGACGTGTTTTCCTACACAACAACGAACTACCAGTTCTCTACTAAACTAGGAGCTATCAAAAATGCGCTCAAAATGCCTCATGAATGAAATATTTCAGTTTAATGCCAGGGGTTCAGGGCTCAGAGAATACTTTGTGAGTGATCCATTTAAATATAATTAAGCCCTAGTTAGAATATTTAAGATCCAGTGACAGCTACCGAGATTAGCATTCATATGAAGGTGAATAATTCTGATTAATGGGAATTTTCCGCATATTAAGTGCGAATCTTTCTAGTGCAAGCTATTACGCCTCGCTGCAAAATAAAACTGGATTTTGAATCGGGTTAGGGCATTGCAGTTCGTCGATATCCCTTCCGCTGCTGATGCTGTTGCTGAGACCGATTGGAGTTTTGGACTTGGGCTTTGGCACTCGATGTTTCTGTGTTAGGAGACTGTTTTGCATGTGTGTCCCTGTGCGACGGTGTATGTCGGCTTGTATCTGTGAGTTTGGGGCCTGCCGTCGCTTGCAATTATTTACAAAAGCCAGCAGCAACAAAAGTAAATTGAAAACAGGTTTTCGTTCAAAAACGAAAAATGAAAAAAAAAATACGTACGAACTGAAAACATTGAAACCTCTTTTGTAGAGCTTTATTATTGACTGTTTTTGGTTTTTGTGTTTTTATGGTCACCGCAGAGTTTACTCGAATTGGGCCGAGTCGGGGAAATGCATCCCGGGTATTAGCCAGGTTATCAGCTAGCTGGGGGCCAGTGCCAACACCTCTGCTTCCAGGTCTGACTCCGCACACTCGCAAACGTGTCACTTGGACCACTCACTCGTGAATTTCAAATTGGAAACAGAGTGCACTTGAATGATTAAGCCAATGAGTGTGGCTATTTCTTTTATTTGTGCTGCTCGACTAGTTGTGGGCAGTGTCTTGCCTCTGTTATGGAATAATTAAACCAAAAACTGTTAAAACAATTTCACTTTTTCTTTTGTTTCGATGTGGGCCACACACTCAATGGATGTGACGCAATTGGGTTTAGTGCCTCCTCTCGAAATCGCAAATTGCGAACACGTTCCGATTTCCAACAGCCCTCGACTGATCCACTTTTTACACATCTTTAATCGTTTTCAGGCGGCCTACATGATAGTGGACGAGATGCACGAGGAGCACCCGGAGCTGCTGCGCGACCAGTACTGGGAGTGCGTGGTGCCCAAGGACCTGCCCTACACGGTGGCCTCCGAGCACTACAGGCGGGACGAGCCCAAGGGATCCGCCGAGAAGTACAAAGTCAAGAAGGAGGACGCCATGTATGCCAACATAATGCCAGGTGGGGGCAAGCGAATGCTCAGCGACGACGTCTATGCGGATTATGTGAGTATCAGAAAAAAAGGATTACGATTTAGTATATTTTTTAGTGATATTAGCCACTTATTAGCGCGAAATTATATAAAAAAAAATTATAAAGTGGACTATATTAAATAATATATATATTCGCAAACTTTAAGGTAGCTCTTTATAGCTTAAATACTTGTTAGTTGAGTTTTTTATTGGTAAAAAAAATTTCACTGTATGCATATATGTATAATTACACGGAGCAGTTATAGTTTTTGCTTATATTATTTTTTAGAAACAGATTTTTCGGGAAATTAAACTATTCAATTTTGCTCAGAATTCGAAACCTTTTAAAGATCTTTGTCCGGTCACCAGTTTTTAAACAAAATTTAGACATACACCTATTAAAAAACTGAAAATTAGTTCTATACTATAAGTATATATTATTATTACCTTTCGGTATCATAGGGAAGAAACCCAACAGAAGAATATAATACAGGCAATAATGTCTTAAACTTTCAATTTTTCTTAAAAGCACCATTGAGCACGATTAACCTTTTCGCAATAAAAATGTAAAGTCGTTAAAAAATGTATTTGCTTTTAATTATAATTTACATGAAGAATTTTTACGGTAAAGTTACCATTAAAAAGAACCATAAAATGGACTATGAAACCAAATCGAATGAGAAACTAATGAAATGTATCTCCTACCCACAGGAAAGTGTAGACACTCCCATGGTGGAGCGGCGGAAAAATAATTGGCTTGTACGGCAACTTTCGCGGATGGGTTCCATGAGAAGCCAATCTACGGCATACTCCTCCGGCGGACTGCCCTTCAACAGAAATCGGCTGAACTCCGTGTATTCTAGTCCCGAGTCCGGTCTGCCGCTGTCCATCATGCAACAGCAGCAGCTGCAACAGGCGCAGCAGCAACAACAGCAGGCTGGATCGCAGCCAACCAAGTCCAGTCTCTATGGCAAGTTTGTCCATCGCAAGTCCCTGAGGGCACAGCGTCAATTGATAAAGCAAAGTAAGTTCTTAATACACAAATTGTATTAAATTTGATTCCCCATGATTAGTGCCCCTAAAAGTATGCACCTCTAAAATATATCTCTTTTTCAGATTCCAAACTAAACGGCTTGAACGTAAATGTGGCCAACAAGGTTAGGCCTAGAATTCCCACTCCCGAAGTGGCCAAGGATGGCAACACGAATCCAGGTGAGTACGATTCACACGTCCTGCACGAAACTCTTGCAACTCCTTCCTCATGTTTGACTCGCACCCCGTGTAGCCACGAGTGCAGTCCTAATGGCACCACAGCAGCTGAGCACCCCCAGCGCACCTCCGGGCCTGTTCCCGGCCACCTACACCACCGACCACACCAGCACCACAACTGCAATGCACCCGGAGAGCGGCCAGGTGCTGGGCACGCTGCTCCTCTCGCCCATCAAAGAGATGGATAGCTCATCGTCCAATAACACTCTGATTCCAGGACACCCGGCAACCGCAGCCCTGGCAGCCAGCATGAAGGAGGGCTTCATGCCAACCAGTGAGTGATTCCTAGCTAGCTCTATAATCGAAAAACTAATGCAGATCTTCATCCAGATATTCCACCTGCGGCCAATATAACGACCTTGTCCTTCCCCTTCACGGTGACCAGCAGCGGCGGGGACACCATTCCCACGGGCACCTTGAGCATCCTGCCCATCACGGCTAATGCCCAACTGCCCACAATCACCACCACGGCCAGTGGATACGATCCAAACGATGTGATCACCACGATACCCGTTTCCCTGTCCATCCAGAGGTCGCCATCAGCCCTGTCCATTGTGGAGCTAACCGGCACCGATGGCCAGGATGGGTACAGCAACAGTGGTTCTAGCAACGGTAACGGGGGCATCACCACCACCGCGTTGCTTTCTGTCAAGCCTCTAAATGGCCATCCCAATATCTCGCGGAACAGCAGTTTCAACGTCAACCTGAACCTGCAGGATCCGAGATCTTCAGTCCGATCCGTGGGACCAACGGATACTGTAGACAATGCCTCGATAGCCACGATGCCACTGGCCCACAAGAGCGGTGGCCAGGAGACGGGAGCAGGCGGATCTTCGGCACCCTCCACGCTGGCGAAACACAAGCCGGAACAAAAGACCGGGGAGGTGTACGTGTGACACTGACCACCTTCTGTTGAATCTTCACGGTTCAAGATTCGATTGGATTCGAGATTTGATCGAAAATCGAACCACGTAATTAGGTTTAAGACCCGCTGGCGTTGAGCCACCCCGGAGCCACTAAGATATTATCAGTAGTCTGGAAGATCGGTCAGTTTGGGATTTTTATCGAAGGTCGAAGAGGGCTATTTAAGCAGCTTTTTGGCAGATATTCCATAAATTGGACGCACTTCTTTAAGCAACAATAATGTATACGGAAGTTCTGACGTATCTTACATCTTTAATAACTATCCATCTTTTAAATCAAATTCCACGTATAAACTAGTGTTACTAATGGAAGTGCAACCGATAAGAGCCAAGCTGTAGACTTGTTAGCCCTGTTCGCCCAGCTCAACAAAATTCCAGCAAATGCAAATATGTTATCACCCGACCGACCGCATCCGTAACTCTATAGTTGCTTTGTATATAATTAGCTATGATATAAGAAACGGACTTATTGTTTTGGCACTTGCCATATTAGTTAAGCCTTCGAATGATTGCAAAACCCTTTATGAAGAATCTCTATCTCGTGTAGGCAGTGTAAATAAACCAACACAGTATGTGATATGCGATTGTTATCCAGCTAGATTTTGTATCTTTGCAAGTACAGATAAATGTGTGCATAGTTTATATTCCGTAATGATAATCCATTATATTGTAAATGTAGGAAATCTATGCAATTTTGGCCTTCCTGCAAAAAGAGCCAACTACTTATAGCCTACCTATATATTTAAATAAATTTTATAGCCTAACTCGCCTATAGTTTGATTTCCTGGACCTACCTGGTATAAGAGACCTGGAAGAGTTTCGATTTCCTCCAAGCACTCTTTCCTCGATCAATTGGGGCTCTTTGGGCCTGCCCCAAGAGAAAGATCAATTAGAATTGAACCCCCGAGTCTAGATATATGTAGTCGGCGAATTTAAATGGGTGCTCATGGATGATGACGGCCAGTCGCGCTTGGACGCTCAAGCGGAAAAGATCCTCGGTCTTCATCTTTAAAGAAAACTCTTCAATTGGATAACTTAAGGATAGCCCAGAAAGTGCAAAAGAAAAGGTTAATATCCCAGTAAAGGAACTGAAAGGCTTCTTGCAAGCGTAGCCACAAATGTGTGATCCGTGGAATGTGTCCAGTACTGCAACATATATATTCTATTACTTGTTAACCCCGGGGGTCAATGAGAACTATGCGGCCGAAGAAACAAACTTGCATACGCAACGCAGAGAGTGTCTTAATTGAATTAACCTTTTTGTCTGCTCGACGATGAGTGTGGAAATCTTGACCACAGATCGATGGCCTATTGAATAATATATTTGTGATATTCTTGATTGCCCATAGGGTACATCATGGATCGCGATGAGGCCTCCACCTCGACCTGCGAGGGCAAGTCACTGGAGGAGATACCCGTGGCGGAGGGCCTGGAGGCCACCCAGCCCGTCAGCTTCCTGAGCCTGTTCAAGTTCTCCACGTACTGGGAGATCTTCTGGCTCTTTGTCGGATTCGTAATGTGCTGCATCAAGGCTCTCACCTTGCCCGCCGTGGTCATCATCTACAGCGAGTTCACCTCCATGCTGGTAGACAGGGCCATGATGTTCGGGACCAGCTCCAAGGTCCATGCTCTGCCACTCTTTGGTGGTGGGAAAACGCTGTAAGTTTCAAAAAAATAAATCTTAAATAATAATGTAATAGAAAAAACGCTAGTAAAAAATAATAGAAAATCAAAATGATGAGCTAGAGGCCGTAACCTTCTATCTCAAAAACCTATAAGATATTTTCGATCCCTCGATTATACGTAATCTATAGGAAAAAGTTCACCAATCCTGGCTGTTCTGACTTGAATATCAACTGCATGCCAAGGAGTCGATAAAATTTATGCTTAGAGTCGAATATGTTTCATCGTACCTGTGCAAGTGTATAAAAATAAGAATGATATGATGGATGATCAAGCACAATAATAAAATATTGAACAACACGCAGTGACCTTTTAAACCTATTGCGAAAATTGAGTACCAGACATAATTCTAGTTCTAGTTATTTTACTACATATTTATTTATGATAAATTTTAATTTTAAAACACAACATCAAAAGATTAAGTTTTTACTTTATTTATTTTTTAATAAAATAATTCTGTAACCTCAGCACAAATGCCACTCAAACGGAAAATAGTGAAGCCCTCTACGACGACTCCATTTCTTATGGCATCCTTCTGACCATTGCCTCCGTGGTGATGTTTATTTCCGGAATCTTCTCGGTTGACATTTTCAACATGGTGGCTCTGCGTCAGGTTACCAGGATGAGGATCAAGCTCTTCACCTCCGTAATGCGTCAGGACATAGGATGGCACGACCTGGCCAGCAAACAGAACTTTACCCAGAGCATGGTGGAGTGAGTTGGGAAATTAAACAAATTGTTGAAAACTTTAATAATCATTTGTTATATTTCAGTGATGTGGAGAAGATACGCGACGGCATCTCTGAAAAAGTGGGCCACTTTGTTTATCTCGTTGTGGGCTTCATTATAACAGTGGCTATATCCTTTGCCTATGGCTGGAAACTAACCTTGGCAGTGAGCTCCTACATACCCCTAGTGATTTTGGTCAACTACTATGTGGCAAAGGTAGGATTTCTTAAAGGTGTACTTTTAAGGAAATACATAGTTTTTTCTTATTTCTAGTTCCAAGGGAAACTGACTGCCCGGGAGCAAGAGTCCTACGCGGGAGCTGGTAACCTGGCAGAGGAAATCCTGAGTGCCATTCGCACAGTTGTATCCTTTGGAGGTGAAAAGCAGGAAGTGGAGAGGTATGAAAACTTTCTGGTGCCCGCCCGCAAGGCTAGCCAGTGGAAAGGAGCCTTTTCTGGTCTGAGTGATGCTGTCCTGAAGTCCATGCTCTATCTCTCCTGTGCCGGAGCCTTCTGGTACGGAGTGAATCTCATTATAGACGACCGCGGCGTTGAGGACAAGGAATACACCCCAGCTATCCTGATGATCGTAAGAGATATCCAATCAATTATTAAGCTCTTTTGTATAACATGATTTTGTAGGCCTTCTTCGGTATTATTGTGGGCGCGGATAACATAGCCAGGACTGCACCCTTTCTAGAGTCTTTTGCCACGGCCCGGGGCTGTGCCACAAACCTGTTCAAAGTCATCGATCTGACCTCCAAGATCGATCCTCTCTCCACTGATGGCAAGATCCTAAATTACGGGCTTCGGGGCGACGTGGAGTTCCAGGATGTCTTCTTCCGCTATCCCTCCCGACCCGAGATCATTGTCCATCGGGGCCTGAATATTAGAATCAAAGCGGGCCAAACGGTGGCTCTGGTGGGGTCCTCCGGCTGTGGAAAGTCCACCTGCGTCCAGCTGCTCCAGCGGTTCTACGATCCCGTGTTTGGTTCTGTACTGCTGGATGATCTTGACATCAGAAAGTACAACATTCAGTGGCTCCGTTCGAACATAGCCGTGGTGGGTCAGGAGCCAGTGCTCTTTTTGGGCACCATAGGTGGGCTTTCAAATCGAGAATCTTGACGTGCACTTATTAACCCTCTGACCCTCGGCAGCGCAAAACATTAGCTACGGCAGGCCGGGGGCAACTCAGAAAGATATTGAAGCGGCTGCTACTCAGGCGGGAGCTCATGAATTTATTAGTAACCTTCCGGAGGTGAGCTGCGATTTAAACAATTAAAAATGCACATTAAAATATATACTCTTTATTCCTATTCCCAGAGCTACCGCACAATGATCGGGGAGCGGGGATCCCAGCTGTCTGGTGGCCAGAAGCAGCGCATTGCCATCGCCCGAGCCCTGGTCCAGAATCCCAAAATCCTGCTCCTGGACGAAGCGACCTCCGCTTTGGACTACCAGTCAGAGAAACAAGTTCAGCAGGCCTTGGACTTAGCCAGCAAGGGAAGAACCACGATTGTGGTGTCCCATCGATTGTCTGCCATTCGCGGAGCGGATAAAATCGTATTCATTCATGACGGAAAGGTCCTCGAAGAGGGCTCCCACGATGATCTAATGACCTTGGAGGGGGCCTACTACAACATGGTTCGTGCTGGCGATATCAAATTGATCGACGATGTGGAAAAAGAGGACAATATTGAGGAAGCCAAACGTAAGCTTGTCCTTATAGCCTTTTATGTTTGGTTTAAGAATACGTATTTCTAGGCAAAAGCCTGGCTTTGTATGAGAAGTCTTTTGAGACGAGTCCTTTGAACTTTGAAAAGGGTCAAAAGAACAGCGTCCAGTTCGACGAGCCCATAATAAAGCCCAGTGCCAAGGACACTAATGCTCAGGTCGTGGAAGCCCCGGCTGAGAAGCCGAACTTCTTCCGCACATTCACCAGGATTATACGACTTGCCCGTCCGGAGTGGTGCTACCTCATCCTGGGCACCATTAGTGCCATAGCCGTGGGCTGCTTGTATCCTGCCTTTGCCATCATTTTTGGTGAATTCTATGCAGCTCTTGCGGAACAGAACCCGGAGGATGCCCTAAGGAGAACAGCAGTGCTTTCGTGGGCGTGTTTGGGCCTGGCCTTCTTGACAGGATTGGTGTGCTTCCTGCAAACGTACCTGTTCAACTACGCCGGAATTTGGCTCACGACCAGGATGCGAGCCATGACGTTTAAAGCCATGGTTAGCCAGGAAGTTGGCTGGTTCGACGACGAAGATAACTCAGTGGGAGCCCTGTCAGCCCGGCTGTCCGGCGAGGCAGTTGGAGTCCAGGGAGCCATTGGCTATCCCCTGAGCGGCATGATCCAGGCCTTGTCCAATTTCATCTCCAGTATCACCGTTGCCATGTACTACAACTGGAAGTTGGCCTTGTTGTGCTTGGCCAATTGCCCCATAATTATAGGTTCCGTCATCCTGGAAGCCAAGTGGGTTGTACCACCTACTTTTTAGTTTCTTTGATGACATTCTATTTGTTTCAGAATGATGTCCACGGCCCTAATTAGGGAGAAGCAGGTCATCGAGGAGGCCTGCCGCATTGCCACGGAGTCTATAACGAATATTCGCACCGTGGCCGGCTTAAGACGGGAGGCGGACGTTATCCGGGAGTACACGGAGGAGATCCAGCGGGTGGAGGTGCTCATTAGACAGAAGCTGCGATGGCGCGGAATTCTCAACTCAACCATGCAGGCTTCGGGCTTCTTCGCCTATGCGGTTGCTCTTTGTTACGGCGGTGTTCTGGTTTCTGAGGGTCAGCTTCCCTTCCAGGATATCATCAAGTAAGTCAATAAGAACTGTCTGGAATCAATTATTTGTTCACGAAATCCTTTAGGGTCTCTGAAACCCTCTTGTACGGATCCATGATGCTGGCCCAATCCCTGGCCTTTACGCCCGCTTTCTCCGCCGCTCTGGTGGCCGGCCATCGTCTCTTCCAGACCCTGGACCGCAAACCCAAGATCCAGTCTCCCATGGGCACTATCAAAAATACTCTGGCGAAGCAATTGAATCTCTTCGAGGGAGTTCGGTATCGTGGAATTCAGTTCCGATACCCCACGCGCCCAGATGCCAAGATTCTGAACGGCTTAGATCTAGAGGTGCTCAAAGGTCAGACCGTAGCCTTGGTGGGCCATTCCGGGTGCGGCAAGTCCACATGTGTCCAGCTGCTGCAGCGCTATTACGATCCCGATGAGGGCAGTATTGTAAGTGATTGGTCGAGTCGGCAAGGTGGCTGAATAAACCATATTATTTCCCCTTTTATTAGCACATTGACCACGACGATATCCAGCATGACCTCACCTTGCAAGGAGTGAGGTCCCGACTGGGCATTGTTTCCCAGGAGCCCACACTCTTTGAGCGTACCATTGCCGAAAACATAGCCTACGGAGACAATGGCCGATCGGTGCCCATGGCCGAGATAATTGCAGCTGCCAAGAGCGCCAATGCCCACAGCTTCATAATTTCCCTCCCCAATGGCTATGATACCCGGATGGGAGCCCGGGGCACTCAGTTGTCCGGCGGACAGAAACAACGCATCGCTATTGCCCGGGCCCTGGTGAGGAACCCCAAGATTCTCCTTCTGGACGAAGCCACCTCTGCTCTGGACTTGCAGAGCGAGCAGTTGGTGCAACAGGCCCTGGACTCTGCCTGTTCCGGAAGGACCTGCATCGTAATAGCCCATCGTCTGTCCACTGTCCAGAATGCGGATGTGATCTGTGTCATCCAGAACGGTGAGGTAGTGGAGCAGGGCAACCACAGTCAGCTAATTTCCCAAGGCGGGATCTACGCCAAGCTGCATAAAACCCAAAAAGATCACTGAAATACTCATCAGCTACTATTGTTACTTTTTTTAAATGTCTACACTTTTATAAAAAAAAAAAACTGAATAAATAATCACTCTAGTTTTTTTTAACTTTAATTTTTTATTCATTATTTTTTATGAAATTAGTTTTGACGCGGGTTCAAGTATTGAAGACGCTATAAAATATGAATTCTAATGATAGAGTTTCAAGGCATTGGAACCATGGAAATGCGAGATACAAAGCCTGGCTTATAACCGATCCCCTGCAGCCTTACATAAATACATAAGTAGATCGCTTATCGCACTTAAGAAAGTTGATGAGTAGTTTTAAATATATTTAAGTGCATTTGCATGTATTTTTCTTTATAAAAAAAGTTTCGAAATGGAACTCATTGGACTAACACCAGATATTATTTTGGCTCCTAACAGTTGGTCCATCAAGACCCTCTGTTGTTTCCCCTCAAGTGGTACGGGCCACGGAGATTCCGTTTTCAAAAGGAACTCATTGGAGTTTATAGCGCGTTTTAGGGAAAACGATACTAATATTATAGTATCTTTTAGGGCTTGCTCATTCAGCGCCCCTTGGAAGGAACTGGACCGGCACTGTCACTAGCACCGTCAACATGTTTTCTAGGCTTCTGCTAGCTACATACATAATTAAGCTTTTTTAATCATTGATGGCACAAGATTGCAAGAATTGCATTGCATTTTTTCCATCCTCATAAAATTATTCTGGGGATTAAAAGAGGCTTATAATAATACGTATTCAGGCCAGACTGGCTGGAGCGTCACAACTTGTAACAAGTTTGGCTAATCCCCTGAACTGGATCTCTAAAAATTGTGGTACAGATTGCACTTTTGAAAGTATTTTTTATACAACCTTAAAATGGCATAAAAAACATTATATAAAATACCTGAAAACATAATTAAGTTTATGAACCATTTATAAGTTTTGCAAGTAAATATTTGTTCTCTCTTGAAATCAATTTCACAAGAGATACGCAAATTACTAGAGAAGATATGGCTATCTAAGCAATCACTGTAACAGTTTTCAGAGTTATATGTCTATGGCAGTCAAAACATTACTGACAATCGTCTGGATCTCCCAGATACATCTAATCAGCCTGATAAGAAAGCTATCTAAACTGAATCCCTATAAACACAAGACCACACGCCTTTTGCAAATATTCATGGTCAATGGCAGGGTAATCGTGACTTGGCAGAGCCCGGTGCTGTAAAATGATAACCTTTTTCAATTAGGCAGCACAGATCATAACTTAACCAGCTAGGAATTCAAATGGCTGGCGACCCATTTCCGCGATGGGTGGGAACGCACACCTTCCCTGGATATGGGGTGCTACGATTTTGTGCTTGTCATTCTTGGGAGAACCTTGGGTAAAATCAATTCAATTGATATTAATAAACGGCCATTAGGGGTTTCGACGAGTCTGTCTATTTGAACTCTAATAGAAATAAAATTTGTAGAAAACTGACGCCATCGCCGGCAGAATCGTCAGTCGCAATCTGCGATCCCAACAGAACAGACGCGGACGCGAGCGCGGATCTCCGAAAGATCAGAAACGTTGTGCCCGGAATGCAAAACAATTAAAGCTAGAAGCGAGAGCCGGGGCGGATCAGCCTCATCGGCTTCAGTGCATCAGTGCATCTGTATCTGGAAGGGAGTTAATTAGCCGGAGAAAAGAAACCAACCAGTCCAAGCCATCCAAGGCAAACGAACTGCGGGCCCTTCGTGTGTTGTTTCGTTTCGATTTTTGGTTTTTGCCCCGTCACTGAGTTTTCTTAACTATTAATTGACCCGACGGTCAATGAGTATATAGACTATAGTTCGTGACGAAAGATGTCTGAGAACCGCGACGATGTCAGGAACGAGGAGGACGACGAGTCCACGCCGGAGACCAAGAAGAAGGATAAGTCCAAAAAGAAGTCCGAGCCCATAGTCAACTATACGCAACTGTTCCGGTACATGTCCGGATGGGACTATGTCCTGCTCGTGTCAGCTTTTGTGGGAGCCTTCCTCCAGTCCCTGGTCTACCCCATTGCCATTGTGGTGTACAGTGAGCTGGTGGCCATGTTCATCGACAGAACCCTGGGCCATGGCACCAGCTCGGACACCATTGGATTGCCCCTCTTCGGAGGTGGCAAAATACTGTGAGTTAATGCCACTATTTCGGGAGACTTATTCCCCGAGTACGTGCCAAACATCTGCTTTATAATAGGACCCTTAACTTTTGTCTCCCCCTTAACTTGCCAATAACCATTTTACTTGTCAGGAAACTGTTCCAAGCTGATTCTCAAATAATTTACAAGGCTTAGTTACAAAACGCATATTATGGCCAATTTGAAAAGATGTATCTATTAAAAGAGATAACAAAATGTTTTTAAAACAAGTTACAACCTCTTTGAGCGGGCTGTTGTGCGTAACTATCTTTAGGGGATCTAAAGCAAATTTTTTATTTTATTAAGAAATAAAAAAATTGATTTAGCTTCTTTATAAAATAAATTTCCGTAAACCAGCACAAATGCCACCCACGAAGAGAACATGGAGGAGCTGCGAAAGGACAGCGTGTCCTTTGGCATACTTATGACCCTGAACACCCTGCTTATGCTTTTCTCCGGAATGTATTACGTGGATGCCTTCAACCGATTGGCCCTTAGGATCACTGTCCGCATTCGCAGGGAGTTTTTCAAGGCCACTTTGAGGCAAGAAGTCGGGTGGCATGACATGGCCAAAGATCAAAACTTTGCCGTCCGCATAACAGAGTAAGTAAATAGAACTAAAATCCAACTAGTTGTTTGTTAAATCGGGTTTCCTGTAGCAATATGGAGAAAATTCGCAGTGGCATAGCCGAAAACCTGGGACACTATGTCGACATTATGTGTGAGGTTGTGATAAGCGTGGCTCTATCCTTCATATACGGATGGAAATTGGCGTTGGCGATTGTTTTCTATATACCTCTAACCCTTTTTGTGAACTCAGCCGTGGCCCATGTAAGTATGTCTGGAGAAACTATTGGAAAGTATTGTGGTCAGGAACCACAGGTATTTCTCGGCAAATATTTTCTCGCTTCGCTAAAATAAAGAAATTGCTTTCGAGAACAGAACATGTTTTGTAACAAGATGTTTAGTGAACTTGGCCATGCGTTCATCTATTCTAAATATATATTCTCAAAATAGAATAGAAAAAAATAGAAAAGGTACCTCGAAATGCTAATATATGTATTGGTACCTAATTTTCTGCTATTATAAATGGTTTATGCTATTATAAATTTAAAAAAAACAAGAAAGGAAAGCTAACTTCGGGCGGAGCCGAAGTTTATATACCCTTGCAGTTAAAACTGGATATATATCGCAAACATCAGATATAGTTGGCCGATCCTTATGATTACATCATAATAAAACCAATTAATTACAATAAAAAATCTAAAAAAAAAGTCCCAAGCTTTTATCTTCAAAAATACGAAAGTTGATATTTCTACCAAATACCATTTCCGATCGTTCAGTTATATGGCAGCTATAGGATATAGTCGGCCGATCCTAATGAAATTTCGTAGGTCGGATTAACTGACCAAAGATATAATCTTTAGCAAATTCCAGCTTTCTATCTTCAAAAACACGAAAGTTGGGTCATTTCCGATCAATCAGTTATATGGCAGCTATAGGATATAGTCGGCCGATCCTTATGAAATTACATGTCGTTTTATTTTGCCAAAAATAGCTCTCATGTCAAATTTGAACTCTCTAACTCTCAAAACACCAAAGTTATACCAGTTCCGATCAATCAGTTATATGGCAGCTATAGGATATAGTCGGCCGATCCCGGCCGTTCCGACTTATATACTGCGTGCAAAGGAAAGAAGGGTGTGTGCAAAGTTTCAAGACGATAGCTTCAAAACTGAGAGACTAGTTCGCGTAGAAACGGACAGACAGACAGACGGACAGACGGACAGACGGACATGCTCATATCAACTCAGGAGGTGATCCTGATCAAGAATATATATACTTTATAGGGTCGGAGATGTCTCCTTCACTGCGTTGCACACTTTTGGACAAAATTATAATACCCTCTGCAAGGGTATAAAAATAGTACTAAATATTGTAAATATAATTTAGTGCACCTATACCTATCCAATTTTACAAAAATCATTGAGTTTTGAACATGAAACATGTATATTTCGAGTAGCCATAGGATGCTACCTTTCAATGAATATTTCAAGAATAAACCTTTAAATAAATGCATTGTAACTAAATAATAAATACTTACTATTCTAGTACCAAGGAAAGCTCACGGCCAAGGAACAGAGCTCGTACGTCCGGGCGAGTTCAGTGGTGGAGGAGGTGATCGGAGCCATTCGCACCGTGGTGGCCTTTGGTGGAGAAAGATCGGAGTCGGAGCGATACGACACCCTGCTAAAGCCCGCCCTCAAGGCCGGAAAGTGGAAAGGAGTCTTTTCCGGCCTAAGTGACACCGTGATGAAGGCCATGCTGTTTATCACGGGAGCTGGAGCGTTCTGGTACGGAGCCAACTTGATCCTCTACTACCGAGATCCGGCGATTCCAATCGAGGAGCGGGAGTACACCCCGGCTGTTGTGATGATTGTGATATCGGGCATCATCGTGAGTGCGAATCAAATATCGCGGACATCGCCTTTCCTGGAAACTTTTGCCATGGCCCGGGGATCGGCGACGGCTATCTTCGAGGTGATCGATCGAGTGTCCCTCATCGATCCCCTATCGAAGGCGGGTAAAATCCTAAACTACGGCCTAAAGGGCAGGATTGAGTTCCGAGACGTTTTCTTCCGCTATCCTGCCAGGGAGGACGTGATAGTCCTGCGAGGCCTCAACGTAGTAGTGGAAGAAGGGCAAACGGTCGCCCTGGTAGGCCCTTCTGGCTGCGGCAAGTCTACGTGCATTCAGCTGCTCCAGCGTTTCTATGATCCTGTGTTCGGACAAGTCCTTTTGGATGGCGAGGATGTCAGGAAATATAACCTTAAATGGCTGAGATCCAATATTGCGGTTGTGGGACAGGAACCTGTGCTCTTTCAGGGCACAATTGGAGAGAACATCCGGCATGGGAAACCGGAAGCGACCCAAAAGGAAGTAGAAGATGCCGCCAAAGCAGCCAATGCCCATGACTTTATTATAGCTCTTCACAAGGTATTAGTTTTTTATTTTTAAAATATTTATTTTATTAAAATAATTTTGCTTTTATTCAGGGCTACGATACGGATATCAGCGAAAAGGGCGTCCAGCTCTCCGGTGGACAACGCCAGCGCATAGCCATTGCGCGAGCCCTCATCCAGCAGCCCAAGATCCTGTTGCTGGACGAAGCTACTTCTGCATTGGACTACCACGCGGAAAAGCTGGTCCAGGCCGCCCTAGACAAAGCCTGTAAGGGCAGAACCACTCTGGTGGTCTCCCACCGCTTGTCCGCCATCCGGCACGCCCATCGAATCGTGTACATTGACAATGGCAAGGCCGTGGAGCAGGGAACACACGAGGAGCTGATGAAGCTGGAAGGATTCTACCACAAAATGGTCACCGTCCACTCCTACGACGACTCTGCCGAGGAACTCCTCAATGAGCTGGAGGAAGAGGCCGAGTTAAAGGAACGAAAAATGTCCTACGAAGTGGAACAGTTCCAGTTGGGAACTCGAAACTCCGTCGTTTCTCTTGAGAAGAATGCCGAGTTCCAGATGAAGCACCTGAATGGTCACAAGCACCAGGTTGAAGAAGAAACCTCGGAGGAAGAGACTCCCTCTGGAAATTATGTGCGCACCTTCTTCCGAATTTTGGGTTGGGCCCGTCCAGAGTGGAGTTTCCTTGTCATTGGCGCCATTTGTGCGGGTATTTATGGAGTTACCATGCCGGTGTTCTCCATTGTGCTTGCAGAACTGTACGGATCCCTGGCCAAGCCCACGGACGAGGAGGTCCTGGACCAGAGTGCCTCCATGGCCATTATTTCACTGGTGATTGGAGTGGCCGCAGGAGTGGTGTGCTTCATCCAGACATTTTTCTTCAATCTCGCCGGCGTCTGGCTAACCATGAGAATGCGGTAAGTCTTTTACACAAAGTGGATTCAATAATATTAATCCAATTGGATTCCAGTTCAAAGACCTTTAGCTGCATCATGCACCAGGAAATGGGTTGGTTTGACCGCAAGGACAACAGCATTGGAGCCCTTTCGGCTCGTCTCTCCGGAGACGCTGCCAGTGTCCAGGGAGCCATTGGGTTTCCCCTCAGCAACATCATCCAGGCCTTCACCAACTTCATCTGCAGCGTGTCCATTGCCTTTCCCTACTCCTGGGAGCTGGCCCTGATCTGCCTGAGCACCTCGCCTTTCATGATCGCCTCGATTGTGTTCGAAGCCCGTTTTGGCGAAAAGTCGGCCATCAAGGAGAAGACTGTCCTGGAGGAAACCAGTCGCATAGCCACTGAGACCATTGCCCAAATCCGAACAGTCGCCGGTCTCCGCAGAGAGGAGGAACTAATCAAGATCTATGACCAGGAAGTAGAGCGATATCGGGTACAAATCCTGAGCCGCCTAAAATGGAGGGGTCTTGTAAACTCCTTGGGAAAGTCTTTGATGTTCTTCGGATACGCGGTGACTTTAACTTACGGAGGACACATGTGTGCCGATGGAGATATCAAGTTTGAAACAATTATGAAGTGGGTAGAGAAAGATGAGTATTCACTTTCCTATATCAATAATGCCTTATATCTTTCAGAATAGCCAACACCATGCTGTATGGGCTCTTTATTTTGGCCCAATCCCTGGCATTTACTCCCGCCTTCAATGCAGCCCTTCTCTCCGCAAACCGCATGTACGAGATCATTGATCGGAAACCCCAGATCTTATCCCCGGATTCTCTTGAGATCCAGCAGAATGGCAACGTAACAGCCTTCAAGACAAATGTTGTCCAGCAAGGCGTCAGCTATCGGGGCCTCAACTTTGCATATCCCTCGAGGCCACACCTGAAAGTCCTGCATGACTTCAATCTGGACATCCAGCAGGGTCAGACTGTGGCCTTGGTGGGAGCCTCCGGATCAGGAAAATCCACCTGCGTTCAGTTATTGATGCGGTACTACGATCCGGACGAGGGAAAGATTGTGAGTATCCCCTGAAATTAAGTTTTAAATTCTAACTTAGTTTCTTTAACCCTTTTTAGCTCATTGACCAGGAAAGTATTCACCATGATATGGATCTGAAAACACTGCGACGTCGTCTGGGCATTGTGTCCCAAGAACCTTCCCTCTTCGAAAAATCCATAGCTGATAACATAGGTTACGGGGACACGACCAGAAAGGTTCCAATGCAACAAATCATTGAGGCGGCCAAAATGGCCAATGCCCATGAGTTCATCATGTCGCTGCCCGCCCAATATGAGACGGTGTTGGGCTCCAAGGGCACACAGCTCTCAGGAGGCCAGAAACAGAGGATTGCCATTGCCCGGGCCATGGTGAGAAATCCCAAAATTCTGCTGCTGGATGAAGCCACCTCTGCGCTTGATTTCCAAAGTGAAAAGGTAAGTGTGTAAGGAATATGTTTTTTTTAAGGAAAAACTAATCCTTGTCCTCTCCTATGAAGGTGGTTCAACAGGCCCTGGACTCGGCCTGTTCGGGACGAACTTGCATCGTTATAGCCCACCGGCTATCCACGGTTCAGAATGCCAATGTGATTTGCGTGATCCAAGCCGGAAGGATAATGGAACACGGAACACACGCCCAACTCCTGGCCAAGAATGGCATCTACGCGAAGCTGTATCGGAGCCAAACAAAAGCATCTTGAAGATGCTCCCAAAAGTATCTAAGCACCGAAGTATGCAGCAAAGAATTTTTATCACATAGTTTAGACACGAACCGCACTGTCGTTGGCCATAAGAAATACATATTACTTGTTAAATAATAATATTAATGAATAAAAAATTATTTCCCTTACAGATCTTAAATTTAAGTATGTTGTAACATTCCATAAATTTTATTGTTTTATTGGGATAACAGAGCTACTTAGAGAACACTATAAAAATCAGAAGTGCGCATTGCATCATAAATTTTAAACCTTATCTTAAGAAAATACTTTGCATTGCTAACTTTAATTGTTTGTTTTTATCATATAGAGATTAGATACCAAAAAGTCAAATAGTTCCTGAAGCTTTTGTGAATTTATCGCTTAACGCTTTTGAATTTAGCGTCAGTGTGTTTGATAAGCCCATTATGAAAGTGGTAATATTTTGCCTAATTTGGCTAGGTGGGTGATTCAGTCTAAAAAATATCCAAAACGTTCTTATGTTATCCCAAGAACAGTCTGCTCCCAAGGTGAAAGTGTTCCATTAAAGCCTTGTCCTTTGGAGACTAGTTGCGGAAAGGTGGACAGCTCCGATGAAGTTTGTGGTTTGGACGAAGAGTTGGGATGCATCCGGAAATACCCCTCCAGGTGCCATTTAAATATTGCCGCTTGCCAAGCGAAAAAAAGTAATTACCTTGAAATTAAGTTGAAAACTAATTAATTTCTTGAGTGAATTACAGATTTTACCGACTATAGCAACGTTTACTGTTCCATGGAGGCCTACGCATGCGAACAGTCCCCCACCTACGAGCGATGGACTATCTTTTTTGGATATGAAAACGACTAGATATTAGAGTAGAAAGAATACAAAAAGATTTATTTATAATTTTGTACATAAATATAAAGTGTGTGTTGTTTAACAAAATATGTATACCCGTGTTGCTTTTAATTCTTAATTTCCTGGATAGTTTCAGTACTTTATACATACTTGTATATATTTAAAATAGGTTGATAGTATAGGCTAGTAAAACATAATATTTATATTGCACATACTCAGATTCATAGAAGCCAGTCATATTGCAAATCCGAAATGTCCTTCGTAGCAAATATGTGCCAGTACCCATTGATGAAGTTAACAGCTGCATTAGAACCTATATCCCATATGTCATCAATACATAAACCGGTGTCGTAAAAGTAAAAGTAAGTTAAAATCAACATCTGTTAGAGAGTCATACATCTCTATTTTTTTTTAATTAATCTGCGTACCTTGACACACTGATTCTATAAGTTTCCCGTTTCTATAAATACTCTCGTAAACATTGCCAACTAGTATACTTAATCTTTTAATAATTTCACAAAACCCCCTGGAATTGTACAGAGTAATATGACTATTGTAGTGTCTACTGCGGCATGGGCGACTGGTTGTGCGACGCTCCCCCTTACGAACGGTGGACGCTCTTCTTTGGGCACTAGGCTGGGTGAGTGACGCCTTGGCGAGTGTGTAAATTAATTAGGTAGCTTTCAATAAATAATCAATCAACGCGAATCGGCCACCGTTCACGTGCCAGGCCAACTGACGACGTCAAAGACCGGTAGGGAGGCAATCGATGGCCGGCGGCGCTTTTTCGCACTCAATGAGACAGAACGACGCCTCGAGCCTTTTATTCGCATCTTTTTTTTAGCTTTTTGTGTTATTTTGGGGTCTTCGGTGGGTGCTTTGCATAATCCGAACCAGCGGCGCCACAGCCATTGGCCTCCTCGGGACTCGCCAATCAGCAGAGAGCTCCAGCTCATGTATAAATTGTGGATCCATCCGTATCTCGGTGTCAGTTAATGCCCATCGGACGAATCACTTCCACCAGAGCACCATGAGCACCGCGTCGCTTACCTTCTATATGATCAGTCTGTTCTTCATCTGCGGTTAGTGAAATTCATTGAATATCAGAGATTAAAGTATAGCATCTTAATTACCTTTGCAATTTTTGCAATTGCAGCCGTCAGTTTGAGTGCGGGCATGCCAACCAGGAGACCCATATCGGAACTATCCATCCAGGAACGCGAGGAGCTGTACCGCCAAACACCTCCAGTTCCCGACGAGCGACTGGCCGACGCCGAATTGGATAGTGCCTATGAAACGTTCAACCTGAGACCTCGAAAACCCACGGAAAACCCCGCTAGAATGTAAACTGCATCCGACTTGTGTACTACTTGTGAACACGAAAATATGTGTGCATTTCGATACACCTATGACGTGTTAATTATGGTTATGGCTATTTACTTTTAGTTCTTCCTAAAGTTAGGCGAAATGTACAAGCATAAAATAAAACAACCGCTTTGGTGAAACGTGCGCATTGTTACTTTCCATTCCATCACGTAGAACTTCCGACACCATCCGCCGTCGGATCACTATCTATAAAGTTCAACCGTCTGGCATTCGATTCAAACAGTTCCCATTCTGATTCCGATCCAAAAGTGCGAAAATCTTCCAACATGACCTCTACACTCAAGATGACCGTGCTTTTCCTTATCGGCTGCCTGCTCATGGCGACGAGTAAGTTCCTGGATTTTTCTGAAAAACTGAATGGTTTTTATAAGATGCATTTTCCATTTTAGTCACTGCCCTGCCCTTCGACCGGTACAGCCGGGAGGATGACGAACGCCTCAACGAAGTCAGTGGGGAATGGTTCCGCAAACCCATCCTCAGGCTGGACCGACTTTTCAGCAGTGCCGAAAGGCCGTCGGAAAGCCGGAAATCCGTGGTCCGACCCACCAGGAACGACAGAGCCGAGTCTACGGAGAGCTCCAAGCACGCCCATTCCATGATCACCACTATGCTCGGATTTGTGAACAGCGCCATCAACTTTGGCAGATCCTTTCTCCGGGACTAACGAGTTGTATCATCGTTAAGTTAGATTATGATTTATTTAGTTTCTAATTAGTTTTTAATTAATGGATTAATGACGATCCTGAGTTTTAAAAAAATATTACTGTAATTTTATTAAACTCTGACTTATTAAAACTGACTTTTTTTAATTAAAATTTTTAAGTTCTATGAAGTTTTAATTGTTATTCTAGGGTTAAAAATTCCAAAAGTATTTAATTTAATTTTTTCTAGGGATTCTAGTTCCAATGCATTTCACTTTATAATATTCCGATAATAACTTTAAATAGGTAAAAAGATTAAGAATAATAATTCAAAACACGCAAAAACTCCTTACACCGTTTGTAAGACAATAAACTCCTAATAACGACCATCAATTCGGTTATAAACATATCACAATAACCTGTAGGTCTTTACTTTTACCATTTTCACTCAAGCACTTTTGAAAACAAACAAAAATTAATTTTTCATTGTGTTAATATACTAACCCACATTTTTTTAATAAGTAATTTATGTAGAAACTCACAGATGTCGTACGAGTGTCTGACTCTTTTGTGGCCGAAGAATCTCTTAAATAACAAACTTTGAATGCTTAAGTTAACCGAGTTAAGAGAGTTAAGACGTCATAATCACTTATGACGTCGAACGTACTTTGGACTCGACCTATCTTTATGATAAAGCTGTAACAATAACACTGGATTAAGGTATTTTCCTATCAGAACGGAAATTAATCATATTAATGAATGAATGGAGGCGTCGAGCGTAAAAGGAATGACGTCTCTGTCTGCCGACCCAGCCCTCTAATGATTGCCGGGGGTTTTTTAGCTACTTAATTCGAGAAATTCAGCGTTTTTTTCGGCTCGCTCTTTTAAGGCGCTTATGTGTGACGACACAAAAACCGAGAGACGACGAATGCTAATTTCTCGCCTTTTTCGCTGGCTTTGTTGTTTATTTTTATCTATTTTCTTTTCTGTGCAAACGTGTTTGTGCATTGTTTAGCCGGCATTAATTGCAAATATTAGCTTGTTTTTACAATCAGTAATTATGAGACCTTGCGGGGATACTTCCAGCGCGATTATTGGGATTTCTTTTGGATGGGAAAATCCAAGAGATCGGTACTCTTTAATTCTAGCGTGTAATTCTTAAGAACAGCTCCTCGGTTTCGGCAGTTCCATCCGAATGAATAGGCTCCGAAATCAACTTGAACGTGGATTTCTTTTTTTGGTAAGACAGATTTCACAAGCTTAACTGAAGGTTAAAGTGGCAATTCTAGAGTCTATTCCGTTATTTCAAATACACAGATAAAAATTTATTGTTAATCTTTTTAAAGGTTTTTTTTCCTATCTACAAAAATTTCCATAAATTATTTCTAATATTATTATTATATTTCTATATTATTATTTTCCAATTTATAGCAAAACCCATTTTTTCATAGTGCATAACAAAAATTTAGAGTGGATAGAATACGCTTTATTGGATCACATAACAAAAGACTTAAGCAACAAACTTGCTCACCAACGGATTATACAAAATATATACAATTTGGGCGAATTTTATGGGCTTATCGCTGCTCCAAGGACCTCAGCTGACCTCCAGGAGGTGGTACTTGAACATTTTGTTCAGGGAACACATATTCTGGGACAACTCGTTGCAGACTCGCGCCACGCAGCCTTCAAAGGAAGATAGTGACGTTATATCGGAATCACGGTATCTCAACAGATCACTCGCACTAACCCACTAGATACTTGATCACTTTCAGCAGCACCATGTCGATCGGTATTCGGTAGTCGGTTATGTCTAGATCGGAGATCGGATGTCGCCAATCCAAAGAACTGCGCCCATGCACACGCGTCGAGACTTAGAACCAAATTGAACTCCGATTCGCACATGCAATCGCGGATAAGTGAAAACGTTTGTGTTAGGTGAGCGGCAGCGACGGCGACTGCGACGCCAAAGCCAACGCCAGCCGCGATCGGTACAGTGGAACAATTTTTTTTTTGAAAAGGTCAAGCCCACGAGAAAACCTGCTGAAATGTATGTGTTAATTATAGCTTAAAACCAATATATTTTCAAATTAATTATCTACATGAAAAGACAACTTCATAAGTAATATTTTATAATATTTTCCCTTCCCAGTGTTAAGCCTAATTATGATCTGTTTGTTAATGTCGTAACTGCAAGCCAATTTTTTTAACAGTTTTGTTTTTAAATATAATTTTTAGCAAGTAGGTGCCATTTAATTTTTTTGCATGTTTATTTTCTTATGCATTGTGATGCTAAATTTGTATTTACTGACTCAAAAAAATACATCAAGATGAATCAAAGCTATTTTATTTAAAATAAAAATTAGCTATTTAAAAATACACAGCTAACAAAATAATATTGTAACTTAGATATAGTAAATTAATGATCATTTTATTTAAGAAACTTGATAGCTATAATAAGTGCACAAATAGTAAAACAGTACAAAAAAAAAGTACTAAAATATTAGTATTAGCACCAATTTTTGTTGTGTGTAAAAATAAATGTATTCTTCTTTTATAGGGAAATAGATTCCTATATATTCAGTCATTAAACACACTTTACCACTTTGACCCACCGTTCACTGCTAATGTGGTTTAGGCCAAGCTTCATCAAGAACTTTTGCTGATGTTGCAATCTGCTGAGTTTCCTCATTTTTTTAAAGCGCATATGTTCATATATTTTCATTAATTTTTTGCCATGTTCATTTGCGTGCATTGCATAAGACGAAGGCACAGAACTGTTAGCGACTCGAATTACGTCATCAGAACTCGTTTACATGCAGCTTGGGACCCGAAATTGCGAAGCTGCTGCGCAGGCGCAGCAATTGAGGCCAAAAATACCAAGAGAACAAGTCGGTCTGACACTGGCAGCCGTCTTTATCAATGCAATTACTTTTGTCAATGCGATCGCCGCCAAACGGGTTTTCATACGACAAACACAGTTAGCCCAAAAAGATGGCGATATCAAAATATCTTCGATCGAAAAGCCGGCCGCGCTGCTGGCGCTGGCAGAGCAGTTGGCGGCAGCGCAGTCGCTGCTTTGGTCATGAATTTCGCACAATTTTTCTATGATCGTGATTTTCAAGAGTTGTTATAGCAGCTGCTAGTTTCTGCATTTGGCACTTTTAATCGGTCTAGCAATAAACTTCAAGTTTTCGGCGATTGTAGGTTGAGCTCACACTAGCAGATACTTTACGAGCGTTTGCATGGCTCCATTATTTTTATTTTTGGTCAGGCCTGAGCGGGTTTGGTTTGGAAGTGAGTTAAGCATGTTTTTCACCTTCGATTTATTGGCGCACCTCCATTTAATAACGGAAAACAGATTGCGAGTCTTGTTGGTAAAAACTATAACACTTCTGTTTATATGGCAATTAAACATTATTTATTTTAATTTACTTTTAAACTTATAATTGGTATTCAAACATGAAACCATTTGAAGAGGTTATACAAATTTGAAAGGAATATTGCCAAAATATTACCTGGCCTTACCCTTTGGGTTATTAACAATTATTGCATTTATATACAAATGCAAGTGTATCACAACCTTTTAGCCATTTAGCCAACCTTTTCTGATCATAAAGATCAGAGTTGAAGCTAAAAGATATTGTTTTAAATACTATATTTACCTGGTCCACATAAAAAAACGCCAAGTCATATAAAGAGCTTTTAAAAACATCATAAATTATTATAATTATGTCATACGTATTTAATAAAATTTTTATAAAAAACTGGAAAGCTAAGAACCATACGGATACATCAGTAAATGGACACATTTCTATGTCCTTCCATTTTTTTACAAATTTGCATTTGGTAAACAGAATTTGATGCATTTTATTACTGAAGTTTCAAAGTATACTGAACAGGCGGACTCCGCAAATCGAATGATTTTGTGGATTTTTTCAAAGCTGTCAGTCGAAGAGCCTTTCAACCATTTTCAATTGTTAATTTAATATACTTACCTTATACATATCAATTGATTATCTGTTGTTTTCCTTTTATATATCGCATCTATTAATAAATTTATACATACATTGTACAGCCATTAAACTATCAAACGCAAGCTCTCCGGCATATGTTTAAATGGCTTAGATTATAAAAGATTATCACAAAATATTTAGCAATCTCAAGAACAACACGATGTGCATGGATACATTTTTAAATTTCTATTTCCAACATATTCAAAATGAAAAGCTTTGGCGGAAATATGCTTTAACCTCCGGTGATCGCAGATCGATTCCAAAATATTCCACTTGCTTGAAGAACCGGTTTTCGGTTTGTTGAGTTTCATTTCGATCGTTCCCAGGCCGGCCGGCGAATGGGAAAAACAACAAAAGGCCAAAAAACACAAGTAAACAAAGCGGAAGAATCAAAACAAAGGGGGCAAATCTTGCGAAAGAGACGGAAAATCGTGTAACAGCTGTTATTAACAGCTGTTAAGCCCGCTGTTAGCTCTGCTCTGTATATGTGCTATAAAATCCGCGGCGGAAGCCAGACACGAATCCGTAAAAAGGGGACACCGTGGAAACATTCTCGCTGCAGTTGCGTCAGTTGCTCGCGACGAGCCATCCAGTGCGGTTGGATGAGCTCCAGGAAAAGAATAGTGAAAGGACCATAAGAACCAGTGAAGAAAGTGACCACCAGCTGATAAGAAAGTGAAATACACAAGTGTGACAGATACAGAACCGGAAGTGGTCGTCCGCTAAGGACTATCGTTATCGCAGCGCGCGGGTGCTTGAACTATCGGCACAATGGGGGTGACGGTGGCCTCCATTGGTGTCCTGCTGTTGGGCCTAGCGGTGGCCTATACCCAGGCGGAGCTTACGCCTCCATATTTCAATTTGGCCACGGGCAGGAAGATCTACGCCACGGCCACGTGCGGCCAGGATACGGACGGACCAGAGCTCTACTGCAAGTTGGTGGGAGCCAATACGGAGAACGATCACATCGACTACTCGGTTATCCAGGGACAGGTAATTATTTCTCCATTCGGGCCAGCAACGCCCAAAAAATTGGTGCCAGTATACATACACACAAAATCTGATGATCTTTACTCCTGCACTGGAAAAAATTCTTTCAAAAGATTGAAATCAGTGAAGTGGCGTTTGGTTTGATGGAGTATATCAAGTAATAGTGCTATTACTTTTAAGATGATGTTGAATTACCATATAGATTCCATTTATCCTTCTACATAACATTTTTTTAAACTTTTTCTCAGTGTATGCTGCATTTAGAGCTCCCCCACATGTGTTGAACAGTCGTGGACTCTAAAAATACTCTGTGGGCCTTTTTCCTGTAAAATTTCTAACATGTGCTTTGTTTCTTGTAGGTCTGCGACTATTGTGATCCCAATGTGCCGGAGAAGAACCATCCGCCAGAGAACGCCATTGACGGCACTGAGGCCTGGTGGCAGAGTCCTCCTTTGTCCAGGGGCATGAAATTCAATGAAGTCAATCTGACCATCAATTTCGAACAGGTAAGCAGGGGAACAGAAAGCCGAAGGGAGCCGCCTGTGAAACGCATAAGAAACCCATGAAAGGCTAAAAGGTACCGGGGGTCGGATGCAACTTGTTTTCGGGACCATGCCTTGGGATCGTAAAATTTGAAAACAATTTTAATGGGTTTTCATTTCAACGTCGACAGCCACTTCGATGGCAACTACGACGACACAGCAAAAAATGTTGCTGAGCCCAGAGATTTCGTGTTGGCTCTGCCCCTTTGGAGTTGCGGGTTATCACCATACACCATATATTATACACACTTGAATGGGAAGTCTCGGTTTACAAGCTGCTTAGAAACCGACCCGGAGCATTGACTCTTTCGAGCTGTTCATTCTTGGGTTTTTGTTTTTTTTTTTTTCGAGCGACAAGGCACTTTTTTTCTTGGGGCCCCAGCATACGACATAATCGAATTGGGAGCAGTCTGCTTATCAGCATACGAAGAAAAAACTACGGCCTTATCATCCCAGAGCCTGAGTTGTTCTATAAAAACTTCGGGGTCTCGCAGGCTAACATGATTATGGAACATGCAGCGGAAGTGGAGCGATTACTTGGTTTTAAACTAAAAAAAAGAGTTTATTTGGAAGACTTGCTTAATATAAATATTTATATTATAATTTGTATTAACTAGAAGCACTTATTTTCCGTGCATGGAATATAATTTGCACTAAGATCTCTACATCTCAACATGATCTCATCCTCTACTTATGAGAGTATGCCATGGTGGTTTTAATTCATCTGGTGCAATTTTCTTAATTCTCGGAATGCATCCGAACATGAGATTTCGGATTATATATAGCCTGCACTACATATTGTGGTTTCTGGGATCTGATATAATACTTTCTAATACGATATCTTAGAGATTCCTTCTCACTCTGCCTCTGTTTATGCAAAAAACTCATATACTTGAGTAAAACAAATAAAAAACATGAAGATAAACAAATCAGGGCAACACCACAGTATATAAGATACGAACTACAAACATAGATACGAATGAATTTGTATCTCTGCATACATACACACATGTATCTCGTTTTCTTTGGTTCGTTTTCAATTGAAGCCAAATTAAAAAGCAAACATAAACCAAGAAAATATAAATAAACGTATATTCTGACCGAGACCACTGCAGGCTGGAACATTTGGAGTTAATTCTCGTCCAGTGATCTCATGCCACCGCCTCACACTTTTCCATATGCTGGTGTAGTTCGTATCTATGTACACAGCCGAGCGATGTGTACACTCGACTAATAAATTTCAATGAAACTGCTGGCGCGAAATACACATGGCTGATTGTCTCATAGGGTATGAAGAAACTGTAGAGCAGCCTAAG